AATGCTAAGGGAATAACAATTTAGGATTCTATATGCAATTAAATTATTTCTCAATGAAAAAAGGAAGTATTCACTGGGAAGATATAACAATTGTAAATCTGTGCTCACCTGATAACATAGCCTGAAATAATATAAATTTTAAAATGGCAGTTTACAAGAAGAAATTAATATCCACAATCATACTTAGGAAAATTTAATACATATTTTTCTAAAATCGATTAAGTAGACTAAAATGAATAATAGAGACTATAAACAAAATATTAAATACTTGGTTTAGCTTGGTCTAACTTATCAAATGCAGAAAATACGTTATTTTTATTTATGTCTGGAACAGTCAAAACTGAACTGACCATGTACTAAACATAAAGGAATTCTTTGACTATACGATAGTAAATTTAGAAATAAATCATGAAAAGCACTGCCCCCAAGCCTCCAACCATTCCATTTGAAAACTTAAAATTTTTCTTGGTAGTGATTAGAAATCATAATTGGAAAATGAAACATTTAGAGCTAAACAACAATGAAAAAAACAACATATAAAAACCTTTGTGGGAAACCCTAAAGTGATACTTAGAAAATACTGTGGTTTCAAATAGAAGGCAAGATTTTTTTTTTTCCAAAAGTTCCCCAGGAAAGGATATTTATGTTTGTGTTGTTAGGAACTCTCTCATTGCAAGTCTCATGTTCTCTTTCTCTTGAGCATGAAAGTACAGTTCAAGATGCACGTTGACCTGAAGTGCCTTTAGTACATGTGAGTTTGGAAAGCTCACAGAGCTCATCTGATAAGAAGCAAAGAAATCTAGAACAGATCTGGTGTTAAAAAAAAAAATCACTTAAAAAGTAACACAGTGGCTGCACTGTAGATATTAAAATATATTCCAACAGTACAAGTAAGAAAAAAAGTCCTAATGTTTTATATAAATTGGTAGTTGAGGCTTGGGATAAAATTTTAGTAATAATAGACTGATTCAAAAAGTTCTTATGTAATCTTACTGTGATTCAAAAAATTTTGATATAGACACTCATTTCTCATATGTGTAAAGTTCTATGAAATGGGATAAGCAAACAATATTCTGAATATTTTATAGATCATGTGTTAATATTTAAATATATTAATAAATATAAGTACATATTTGATTAGTTTACGTATTCAAATGATAAAATTGTAAAATATTCGCAGGCAAAATAGTGGGATCACTTTGTATTTGGAGCTTCTTTACACTTGGACATACTTGGTTTATGACCTTAATGCACGTATTAGAAAAGAAAAAGATTAGAAATTACTTAATGTTAACTTTAAATTTTAGGGATTAGAAAATGAGCCACAGAGTAAAGCCAACTAGTGAGAAGAAAAGTGATGAGGAACAGGACAGAAATTAACAAAAGAGGAAAATATAAAAAACAGAATATCAAAACTGAAAGCTGGCTTTTAGACCAATAAATAAAGCAGAACTTCTGGCAAAATTCATCAAACAAAAGGGAGGACAAAAAATAACAGTGTTAGGAATGAGAGAGGCTTATAACTGCAGATGTAGTAGAGACATAAAAAAAAATCATGAGAGAATACTATGAATAACTGTGGAAATATGTCACCAAGAGTTGTAGAAAAGCAGATTTAGCTGTGGGGCAGGGATTTCTGTGTTTTGGCCATGTTACGTTTGAGGTAATCTTTAGATGTTGAGCAAACCAAGTTAGCCACACAAGCTCTGGAGATATGTACAGATTTGGGCGTTACTAGCTTATAAATGATATGAAAAGCACGTCAATTTGGAGGCTGGTTTAAGATCTGAGACCATGAGGATCTGAACTAAGATAATGGTAGTGGGACAAAAAGAGGATATAGAATTAGAAGATAGAACTGTACATTTAGGTTCATGAAAGTATGTGACTGTAGGAATGGAATGTCATTTCCTAGCTAAGAGTTAAGGAAATGATAAGAGTTAGGAGATGAGTTTAACACTTACAACTGAATTTCATAGCCTAGTGCAGGGGTTGGCAAACTTTTAAGACGGAAGAGCTGCCAGGGGTTAGCAAACTGCGGCTCCTTTGGGTACGTACACGTGGCTCTGAAGTAAAATTGAAAATGAAAATAAAACTATCATAGTTTCATTTATAAAATTTTTACAGGATATTCACATAATGGTGATTGTGTAAAAATATATTTATGGCCCTCAAATCATTTTTAAATTGTTGTGAGGGACAGGATTGGCTCTTCCGGGGGTCGGCAAACCTTTGAGATGGAACATACCCAAAGAGCCACATGTGGCTTGTGTGTTGCAGTTTGCCAACCCCTGGTAGTGTGTTAGATAAATATCTCAGGAGGAAGTTACCTCTGTAGAGAGGTTTATTGGCACATGATTAAATAAAATTTAGGGAAATAATCTTTGATGCTTTAATTTTGTTTCAGTTTTGAGAATTTTCAGTTTTATTAAATATATCATCTTAAAAAGCAATTGATAATATAATTTTAAAACAAAACTAGTATATTTATTTAGTTGAAACTAGAATAATGAATAAAGTTTCTTGACATAGATATTACCAATATAAGCTGATCTTCAAGTAGTAATTTATCTAATATACTTCTCACTATAGATTTTCAAACTGGAATGATAATTGTTTTTTTTTCTGGACAGTGAACAGTGATTAAAAATATTCAATCTTTTGGTAGATTTGTAGAGGGAAAACCAATTGTGTTAGATGTTTGTACAAACACTTACGCTAAGACAGCATGATGGTTTTCCTGGATTAGGATTCAGTTCTGTTGCCTTAGGTGGGAAGACACAATTGAACATTGGTTTTAAGGAAAATTCTGCATTTTATTTTAGTATAGGCCACTAGCTTGCTGGTGAGTAGCATGCAAATTGCTAGTGTGCACACTGTGGCTGTTTTATACACCTTAGGTCAGCGGTTCTCAACCTGTGGGTCGCAACCCCTTTGGGGGTCGAACGACCCTTTCACAGGGGTTGCCTAAGACCATCGGAAAACATATTTTCGACAGTCTTAGGAACCCAGACACCGCTCCTCTGTCTCCAGGTGGGTCCGCCCACATGCAGATACGCCCACATAGGAGTACCCGGCGTGATGACATCATCGTGCCAACCCCATCACATACCCCGTACAAATACAGGTGTATGTGACATGGTTGACACCATAATGTACTTATCCGGACCAGTCACACATATGTAGAGAGCAGCTACTGTGTAGAAAGCAGCTGCTGTGTTGAAAGCAGCAGTATTGGAGGTAAAACGACACTTCATGAATTATAATTACTGGGTAAATGTAAAATCATGTACTGTAAAATCATCAACTACTGCAAAAAAAATATCTGTACCATGGGAACTTAATCTGGATGCTGGTCGGTCTTTTTATATTCAGCTGTGGTTGATGTGAATACTGCCCCCTTGTGATAATAACAGGTATGTAAAAAAAAACAACACAAAATGGTAAATCATAGGAAACTTTAATGAACTGTATTGACTGAACTATGCCATGTATCATCTTTTGTATTATTAAAGCTATTGTTATATATTATTTTCATTAGCAAACCATCCCATGACAATGGATCGTGTAGAGAAGAATGCTAAGAAAAGAAAATATAGTGAGGATTTTTTACAGTATGGTTGTACCTCAATAATTACAGTGGGAATTGAGATACCGCAATGTGTTATTTGTTGTGAAGTTCTATCAGCCGAATCTATGAAGTGGAACAAACGAAAACGCCGTTTTATAGCAAGCATCCGAGCTTTGCCGGCAAGGATACCAACTATTTTAGAAACAAAGTTGATGGACTCAAGAAAGCCAGATTTGACACTGGTGGCAAATACCACAAACAAAACGTAGCAGCCGTTGAAGCTTCATATTTGGTGGCACTCAGAATCGCCAGAGCTATGAAACCTCACACCATTGCTGAGGATTTGCTGTTGCCAGCGGCCAAAGACTTGTTCGAGTTATGATCGGAGACGAATTTGTTACGAAATTGAGTGCAATTTCCTTATCTAACGACACTG